CTCTCTGTAGCTACCTGAGAGGAGGGTGTAGCAAGGTGGGGATTGGTCTCTTCTCCCAAGTAACTAGCAAGAGGACGAGAGAAAATGGCCTCAAGTTGTGCCAGGGGAGGTTTAGATTGGACATTAGGAAAAACGTCTTCACTGAAAGAGTGGTCAAACACTGGACCAGGCTGCCCAGGGAGATGGTGGAGTCACCATCCCTGGAGGTGTTCTAAAATCGTGTAGATGTGGCGTTTCAGGACATGGTTTAGTGGGCATGGTGGTGTTGGGTTGACGGTTGGATTTGATGATCTCAGAGGTCTATTCCAACCTAATGATTCTATGATTTACTATAATTATTAGGGTTTTTGGGTTGCTTGTACATTTTTGTTTGTTTGTTTTGAGACAAGTAAGGCCTTTCCTTTGGTCCAATGAATAACTACAAAATTTCTTGAGCACTTTATACCAACAGTATCCAAATTCACTCATGACGGTTGTAGAGAACGTGTAGAGATATCTCAAATGCAGCCAAAGCCAAAGGCTCTCTGTTCATTTTTGGGGGTTTCTTTGTTTTGCTTTTGGGGTTATATATCTAAGGTAAAATTGGAGGAAAAATTTCGGTTTTGGTTTAAGTTTTTCTTAAAATTTGAGGACGTATTTCGTTGGGACTAATATGTTGTACTTCTAAGCTTTTATTGTTTGGGGTTTTATTAACAATTTAACGTAGACTTGTTTATATTTCAACTTGTTTTGGTAAAGTAGTCATAAATAAATATTGGTTATTATTACTCAACCTGATCTTGATATTAAAGTTTGCTTCTGTTGACAACATTGAGAAATGTTTGGGGTGTGGGAAGGTCCTGGGTGTCTATCTACTAAAATATATTACCTCTTTCAGCAAAGTTAACTATATATAGTACATGTAGTCAAACTCATTTAAAAAATCCTGCTCAACTATGTGTATGGTCTTTGTTTGTCGGATATTTTAAGCTAACTTTGCAATTGTTGAACTAAATGTGACCAGGGAAATGAAACTAATTATGTAATAAACTATTTAGGGACAATATAGTTGAAATTAAATAGTTGATCATCATTGGAGAGCTTTTTAAATTGCTGTTATGTCCCTAGCGCAGAAATGTTGCTGTAGTTGAGGCAGAGGTTGTTGGATGTTACTGCATAGTGAAGAAACTGTTGCTCATTCTGCTTGAATTACCCCAGATGCAAATCTTTCTGCTACCAGTGTGATAGGTATTGCCCAGTTATCCTATAGGAATGGCTGGCAATTAGTGCATGCTAGCTGATTGTTTCCTGCATCCATGAGGGGGTTTCTTAATCAGAGTTGTTATAAGTAAGGTAACTATCTGTGAGGCCAAACTGTCACTAAGGGAAGGATTTAAGGTATTTCGTTAGGGTACTGTGGGGTCCATAGGTGCTTTAAAACAAATTTGCATTGGCACTCATGTGTGTTACAGTTTATCTTTAAAAAAAAAAAACAAAACAAAACAAACCAAAACAAATACAAAAACAACTAATATACAAAGCACATAACTTTGCAAAGGGCTTTCTGCTGGTTTATGTACCTTGGTCATTACCAGGCTTTTTTTTTCCCTGTTGAATTTTTCCTTTGGCAGCCGTTTCTAACCTGTTTGAATTACATTGCTTTGTTAACGCTGAAGAGTTTCTCCTGGATTGGAAAATGGGACAGGGGGGAAATCCTTGTATATTTACATATATTTGCTGTGTGTCTCTTTAAGTCTGCCTAAACCACATTTTTATAGCCTCCTCTGAGGTTAAACAAATAGCTTTATTCTGATGGAAACTAAAATAGATGTTTCTTGCTTAATCTGACTAAATTTTACCTGTAATAAAGTAGAAATTCTGCTTTTCTTCCCCCTCCCTTCCTTCCTTCTCCCTCCCCTTCCCCCTCCAATATTTTACCTCAGTCCCTACCACAGCTGCTAGCACTCCTGATGCTGTTGACAAATACTTGGAGACACCTGGAGATGAGAACGAACATGCCCATTTCCAGAAAGCCAAGGAGAGACTTGAAGCTAAGCATCGTGAAAGGATGTCTCAGGTAAGGGGAGGTTTCTTTATTTCTAAATACAGGAGGGAGTTTTGTCTGTCAAGTCATAAGATACTCAAAGTACTTCATTTTCTTATTTCCAAAGGCTTCAGCCAGCTGCCCTGTCTGTTTGCAATTTTGTAAACGCACCTTTTACTGCCTTTCTGACTCTTAAGAATTCAGCTGGCTGGGACATACCTTTGTGGTTGGGTCACAGCTGGGATCATAAGTTGCTACAGTTACTTATGCTGGTAAAAACGGAAAAAAAAAAAATCTGTTAAAAAATTGTCTCATCTTTGTGGAAGAATACTTGGTTTGTGACTTTATTCTTATTTCTTGACGACCATATTAGTCATCCTTCCTTGGTGGCAGCTGAGGGAGATTGCTTGTGATTAGCTTTGTTCTCTGTGTGTAGGCATACATGGCTATGCCGTGGGGTAACATAAGCTTGCGTATGTTCATCTAATGGTTTTGACCCTCAAGGTAACACAAAATGCATCTAAAGCCAAAGAAAAGAGGAAAAATTAGTGGTTTTGAACTGAACCAAAATCCAACGGAATCAACCATTTTTTTCCTTTAACCGAAAAGATTTGTGTAGTCTGAAACTGTATACTGGTTTTAATCCTGTTGAACAGTGAGAGATGAGCTGTCCACTCTCTCAGAAATAAGGTTTATAATAGCAATGCCAATAAAAAATTGTCACAGTTCTGCTCGAATAACAACAAAAAAAATATAAGAGGTTTGAAGGAAAGCTGGTGGTGCTTTTTTTTGGGGCGGGGGGTGTTTAGAACAACCACAAAAATGAATGTAGTATAATTCAGAATCACTGCATATATTTGAGTAGCAATTTCACTGATTTTTCTTTATAACTTTGTTCCCCTGTTGCATTTTAAGTGTTTCTGTGTATTACTGACACATTAACCTTTAACTCTGTGCTAAAATGTTTTGAGTAGGCCTGAAATTAATCTCTTAGAGTGAGTCCCTGTCTCCTGGCACTGTAGCTATGCCTGGCACTTTCCTAATAAATAGAGCAGGGCATCTTACCTGAAGCGGTCACCCGATCTGTGCAAACCACATGACAAGAATACGATACGTGTGCAGATACATGTACTAAATAGGTAGAAAGATACGCGCTCCTCGTTTGCCTCCGCTTGGGAAGTGGTGTGGCACAAATGAGCTGTCTCCTCCTTAGAGAAAGTAGTGCCAATTTAATACTTTTTAAATGTTACCCTTTCCTTTCCCCTGGAAGCTTAACAACTTCATAAAAGAATCAGTGGCCAAGGTGTGAGTGCTGCTGAGCGTGGGTGCATGCAGCTCCTGGAGCTGGCCTGAAGCTGTGGGGTGAGTCAGGAGGGAGGTGAGGAATAGCTGACGAGGTGCCTCTGTGCTGTGCCCCTGCCGAGGGAGCACCTTGTCCCAGTCCTCTTCATAACAAACTTCTGTATGGCTACAGTACTCAGTTTGGGAAGGACAGGCTGGGGATCAGGAGGATAAAAAAGGCGGAGGAGAGACATCCTGCCCCAGCTAGGCACGTGGGAGGTTGGCGGGTAAGACAGTCATCCTTATTACGTTCCCTTGAAATAGCCTTTTTTTTTAAAGAAAAAAAAACCACTATAGAGGCAGGTATCCTGACAGCAATGGACACTTGGTGCAAAAGGCAGGTTTCGCTGAACAGTCCTTAGACTCTCGCTGCAGTTTCAGGTTTGTCTCCAATATGTAAAGGTTAAGCTGAGTAATTAAGGGCAGTGTTGGGATGAACTGTGTATTTTCTATTTTGTACAAAGCTGATGGTTTGTCGAAAAGAGCTAATCAAATGCACAGGCACCCAGAAAACAGAGTCATACAGAGAGATCATGCAGCGTCAGTGCTTGGGGCCAACAAAATTAACTGGGAAAAGCACTGAACCATAGCATCAGAAAACTTCTGGGTAAACACGCTGCACATTTTACCATGCGCATTTGGGACAACCTCATAAATGAAGGCTGTGGTTCAAGGGTTTGACTGAAGATCACGCTGGTGCTGCCGCGTGCTCGGCCCTCGTTAGCACGTTCCCAGCCATCCTTTCTGTCAGCGCTAATGAGCGTACAGCTGCGGGGTGAGGCAGGTCAGCTCCCTCATCTCACTGCAATGTCACTCTTCCGAAAAAAAAGTAACATAACCAACTCTGGCCAGTTCAGCAAGCTAGATCAGACCTGGGAAACAGCAGCACGATAGGTAGAAAGATCTTTGATCTTTAATTTGCTTAAGCCGCTTATGCAATCACAGCTTAAAGTACGTATGTCTTGAAGTACGCAGAACCCCTGCAGTGCTTTGAAGAGAGTTAGCTTAAGTTTTTAAAAATTAGTTTTCCCTTCTATGAGTAATGTTTTGTGCAGCATTGAGCTAGCCTCTCCCAGTTAACATTTCAAGTGTTTAAAAAATATAAGATCTTATGGAGAAGTACAAAATCCAGCTGGCTTACCATTCTGTGTTTCTTCATGCGAACTGTGATATGTCTATTTTGTACCACTGGTCTCCATTTCTGGCAATTTATTTAAAAATAGCTTTTTTTATTTTCTTTAAAATCAAGTATGTTCGTTATACATATTTAACTAAAAATTAGTTTGAAGCTGTTACTTGTTATGTTAAAAACAATGCTGAATAAATTAACTGAGAAAGCTTTTACTGTCAGTGTTTTTCTATATTAAAAAAAAGTTAGCAAGTGAGAGTCAGTATCTTAATTTCTCCAGCTGCACTGAACGTACTTACTCTTTTTTTTCCTCACAGTCCAGTTCTTTCAGAGCTGAGAAATGGGGGCTTATAAAGAAGCAGAAATGCCTATCTTTATTGTATTAAAAAAAGAGAGGAAATGATAAGTGATTTTAGGAAAATTACTAAGTCATTCTTTAATCTTGGGAAGTGTCATAGTCTGAAATAAATTGGTTTGTTCACAAAATGCAGAATATTTTATTAAATAAAGCAGCTATTTTAAAACAGTATTTGATTTGATGCACACTTTACTTTGCAACAGCCAATTAACTAATACAAAAATTCAGATGCATTCTAGTTCACAAAGAAAATACAATAATCTAAGGAGTAGGGAAGTTTGTAATTAAAAAAATAAAATTGAAGTTAAATATTTTGATCAAAACATGTCATCAGGGCAAATGGAGATATTCTGTATATCCTCTTTCTGAGATTTCCCTTTGTTTACCCTGAAGTTCTGACAGCTCGTGCTTCTTTTTCTCTTCCATAGAGATACTCACACAGGCAGAGACCCAGTTTCTGTCAGTCATTATCTTGGTTCATAGTTCACAGTCTGTGCTCTTCAATACGGTCACCTAATGCGCCTCTGGTTCAGGCAGTTTTAGTACTTTCTGCTCTTAAGTGTCCATCCCTTTAAACTGCAGACCATGGAAGTTTTTCTGCCTTTACATCTTGCATGGCCCCCGGAGCAACAAGGCTTTATAAACTTTCCTAGGCAGTACTGTAAAGAGAATTGCATTAGCATACAATTTTAACCTTTTCCCAAGAATTATTAATGCAGCTCCAAATAACAGTAAAGCTACATTTCATGCAAACAGGATAGCTATTCATTGATGCATGTGTAACCTTTAAATGTTTGCTATTCTCTGATATATAACAGGGAGAGGTTACGCTAACTGATTCCAGGATGCTGCGGTTCTTGTTTCCTGTTCCAGTACCATTCCCTTTTTCATCTTTCTCTTTCCAGTTTGTTAACTCCTGTACAGCTCCCTCACTTAAATAGCTGCTGCTAAATAACCTGGTGGAACCAGATACTGAACCTTACTCAAGGGAGCAGTGTATTTATGCATTTGTCTCCTCAAACATCCTGTGACATCCTCGTGTCTCAAATTTACTCTTCCCCTGGCTGTTTATAACATTTTAGGAATTATAACATGTGCAGTACTTATGATACGGACTTAATGATACCTTGTCTCCTAGAACAGTCTTGCTGCTTGGAAGTTCATTTCCAAAGCAAGCATCTGAAAATACTGCAGTCCTCAACCAGCCTGAACAGGGCTGAGGCTGTGTTCAGCGCTTT